CACCACTCTTAGGGGGAATGAAGAATGCATTGTTAGTAACAGTGTAAGAAGTCTTTCCTGTATGACTTTAAGAAATGTGTTGCATAGGAGGTTGAGGCAGGAGGATTGTATGTCTGAGCTCAGCTTAACTTATTAAAAAATGAAAAAATGGCTGAATGTGTATCTTAACACAAAGGCTTTAAATTCAATTCCTAGTATCACAAAAAAAAAAATTGCAGCTGAATGCAGGGCTATCTCTAACATAAGACTTTTACCTTTTCTGTTTTCTTCTCCTATCCACTGTTTTGTTTTGTTTTTTCCAGAGAGAAGGTATCCCCAATCATATGACTACTATTGAGAGATGTGAATAACAGCTGCTCGAGGACCTGTCTTGCCTTAAGCCACTGGAATACTTGGCTTCTTTTGTGAATGTTCTATTTTTTATCCTAGACAAAAATTAATTTACCAATCATAAGCAGTAAAAAATAAGGAGGTAAAAGGTCTAGCATGTTACCTATTAACTAAAATAGTAGAAGCTCCCATATTTTGCCTTTCTTATGCCTGCATGTTGAACTCTTGTTTCTTCATTTCTATTTTTGTTTAATTTATAATATTTAACTGTTTACTCTCATATCTGTTATGCTAAATTCTGAATAAAATTCAAGTGGCATAAGTACAAAATAAAGAGAAAAACCTGATGAACTGTGTAAATTCCACTGGTGTGTGTGCTTCAGTTATTGATGGTTTGTTGGGGAGTTCAGAGCAGAAGAATTCCATTCTACATTTTCTCTAAGTCTGATTTTTGGTTTGTTTTTATTAATGATGTTTTGTGGGCATTTGGATAACACAAAAGAGAATCTGAGAAATCAACATTTTCTCAAAAAATTGTCTTCGTTACTTTTCTTTTCACTGAGACAAGATACCCTATGCCCAAAATTAAAAGCATAAAGGTCTATGTGGCTCAGTTTGTAGAGGTTCATAGTTGGGTACCTATGAGGCAGGATGGCACTGCAGAGGGGCATCACAGAGAAGAGTTTGTGGTAGGCAGAAGGCAGCAAGGCAATAAGTTATAAGCAATCAGCAGTGACTATCTTCTGCCTCTTATATTTTACCCAGGCCACACACTCTTTGAGTAGTGCTAATATCCAAGATAGAGCAGCCTTAATCTTAGTATCATACCATGAATCAATCCCAGGATTGCATTCTTAATCTCAGCCTCGCGCATCCTGGATCCATCCATCCATTTCCAAAAAGCCAGATGAACAGCCAGGTTTGTAAAGAGCTCCAAAGCTGCAACAGGTATGCCTTTAGGATTTGTCTTTTTTAATTTTGATTTTTGTTGTGGAGGGTAGAAGTAGTCCAGTTTAGTGCAATGGCACATGAAAAACCAGACTTGCAAGTTTTGGAGGAGGTTAAAAGTGAGTCATTAAGTGATTTTTGCACAGATTGTGATGTTGGCCATGTTAGCCAAAGTTCCTATGACAGTGAAATGGAGCAAAAATGAATTGGCATATGGAATGATGACCTTCTTGAGTCAGATGGCAAAGAAAACAGCAATATTAGTACATATTTGACTAGTAAAAATTGTACAAAATGGTCACACAACCAAATGGAATAATCCAATGTTAGAACTACATCCAAAAATATGGTGGGGATCTTGGCAGGCCTCAAACCTATTGGATGGAATGCCAGCACTGTCATTCAATGTTGGAAATTGTAATAGTCAAAATACCACAAGATATTTTGGAATACACAAGTGATGAAATACAAGTAAAATGCCCTGTGTGCATCAATATCCATACTCAAAAATGTGTTCATTTTGACACCTCACTAGCTGAACTAAAAGCTTTCATAGGTCTGCTGTACTTGGCAGAACTTTCTTACGGTAATTGCAGGAATGTAAAAGACTTGTGGATGTAAAAAACTTATGGGCATTGGTTTGAAGTTTGTACAATAACAATGGCACTGAGGAGATTGGTTTCCTTCAAAATTGCCTGAGGTTTGTTGCTAATGACACAGAAAAAGACCTGATAATCTGTCTGCTGTCAACTCTAGTTTTGTTTCAAAAAGTCAAGCAATTTACACAACACCTGAATATATGACTCTTGATGAATATCTTGCAGCATTTAGTGGTCATTGCAGCTTAGGCAGTATAATAGGGAGGTGTGGTATTTACATTTGAAGGAAGGGAAGGCAACAGAAGAGAAGGGAAGGAAAAGAAGGGAAGAGGAATAAAGGGAATGATTCAGATCCCTTGTTTTTCTAAATTAATTTTATTGAGAAACAAATAACAATGAGACAGTTTCAAAACAGGTGAGTAGGACAGTTACAATAATTAATACATTGCATATTGTTGTCTTTGTAGTTATTCATAGTACAAGATGCAGACATGATATTCTGTCCAAACACTATTAATTGAAATCTTTCTTCTCATTAAATTAAGAGAAAGTATCTATCTATCTATCTA